CCCCTCCTCGTTTTATGGGCTGCAGCCCCCGCCACAGCCCCGACACTTCCGCTTCTGACAGACAGCAGCGGCGGCCCACCAGGCGGGGGCGGGGGGGTTGGCTCCGGCCGCCGGGGTTCAGTTAGCGGCCCCGCCGGCCTGGTTGGCCGCCGCTGCTGTCTGTCAGAAGCGGAAGTGTCGGGGCTGTGTCGGGAGCTGCAGGCAATACACGAGGAGGGAGATCGCAGAGCCGGACTATTCTACATGACAGGTATGCTGGGTCCGGCGGCTCTCCGCCTCTCCTCAAACTATAGTCTGGCCCCCCAACATTCTGAGGGACCGTGAACTGGCCCCCCGTTTAAAAAGTTTGAGGACTCCTGACCTAATGCAATCTCAAATTGTGCAGAGCACACTCGGTGTGTACGCACTGGGGAGCACGTGGGTGCACATTTGTGTCTGGGAAGATAATACAGGAGGTAACTTGTTTTTTTCCAAAAATCAAAAAAACATTCATTTCTGGGAAACCTGTTCAGTTTGCCTAGAGGCAAAATAGCCACAGCAACTTTGAGCCTCAGAAGTGCAGTAATTCATGTGATCTGGTTAGCTCAGAAAAGCTTCTTCCAATTTTGGAATTTGATGCCTGCCCAGCTTGAGATTTCCCCACATGACCCCTAGTCTTCCAGAAGCTGGTGACAGGATGCAGCTCTTCATATCTAATAGGATACTAGTGACTCAATTGGCACCAGAATATAACTTACTTCTAATCCTTTGTGTATATTATATATTTGCTATATATCAGTCTTTTACAACATACAGCCTGTGGATGTCTGCTCCATTCTGAAGAGAAAGAGGGGATAGTAGCTGAGATGGGAAAAAGAAACAATACATTTCCAATGATGAAGTATCATCCATATATTGCTGCCTTACTGATTTTTGTTGGTAAGTGAAATTAAGGTAGAAGCAACATGGCTTGCTGGGGTGTAGCAAGTTAGTAGGCATGCTTTGGTAAAAGAAAAATGTATCCCTGGGGTTGATGTGGTGATGCACTCTTGTTACTAAGGATTCCCAATGGAAGAAAATGTGTGGGTTCTGGTTTCCTTTTCACTCCTTTAAGCTTTCATTTTCATATGAAAATTTTTCATTTTCATTTCCATAGGAAAATGAAGTCTTAAAGAGTGAAAATAGAATAAAAGTGACTGTACTATCGCTTTCCTACTGTTATCTCTTTTACATGCAGTTTTCATTACATAATCAGTATAACTAAAATGTATTTGTATCTCAAAAAAGGACTGATGGATATTTTCACCTTTTTAATGAAGCAAAATAATATTCAAAGGATTGAGAAGAGTATTGCTAAAACTGCAGGGTTTTGCGAATAACAGTTATATGAGTGTTTTAATGCAGAAGCTGGGCTCCTGGTTCTTTTCCCCCACTGACAGTCTTATTTGAGAGAATATAAGAAGGATAAGGAGTTTTTGTGAGACATGGAAAGCTGGGGGGCAGCGGGAATAGGAAGTAAGCATCTTTCACAATGCAGACCAGGTAAGGAAAGGCCCTTCAGGCTCTGCTGTGCATAAAAACAAAGCCATTCACTACTTACATCAGGAGTGAGCACTGAATAGCTGGGTGGAGGCTTGTCAATGGACACTGGCAGGCAAAACTGCCCCGTTCTTAGCCGTCCATGCTGCATGAGAGGAATCCACTATGAAGAGAAGACATGATGAAGAGTAAGTCCTTGCAGGTTGGCATCTTCATGTGACACTTTTCCTCTGCAATCCACCCCTCCCTTCCTGTCCCACAGGTCAGTTTTACTAAGAAAAGCAGACATACAATCACATACAGCATGCAGAACATTCTTCTCCCACCATTCTATCTTCTATAGTCAAGGTGATTTACTATTGGTATTGACAACAGTAAACCCCATTGAGCAAAGGTGAGAAGGGAAGGGAATCCTTGGTAATGGGCACTCCAGGTAAACTGATCAAGTATGAATGTATATAATGTCAGATCATGCTCTGATTCATGCTGCAATTTACTGATAGTCTTAAAGCAGGGGATTCTCCCCGTTCTCTTACTTGAGCATCTTTGCCATGGGGAATAGTGGGGATTTAAACGGGAGCCCTTCTACAATAAAGTATAGACTCTGCCTTGCACCTACAGAACTCCATAATCCTTTTGAAACTCACTGTGTAGCCAACAGGAGTCTCCAGAGGTGTGTTTTGCTTCTGTTGACAGCTAATGTGGTAGAAGGTGAAGAGCAGGTGGTGGTTGTCTGTCAAGTTGGCTGGGATCTTCAGCTTGAACTCCTCATAGAACTCAGGGGACCTGTGGACAGGGGAGGGATGTCACAAGACGCTGCCCAAAACTAACTGTAGCTAAGGCAGAGTCTCAGCCTCTTGCAAGTAGAAAGCTGATGTGTAACACTTTACAAAACTTATTTTCTTAAGAAAACATGTTGGCGATGATCTGCATGAGAAATCACAGACCATTTTCCTGCCACAGTTTGCATGGTTCAGTCTAGGCTAACAAGACAACCACCTGTAACCTATCTGCAGCCACCATCAACTCCCGCTCTGGTTGCTAAAGACTCACTTGCTATGGTACACAACAGCTGTGTAAGCCTCTTTTGCAAACTCGCTGCAACTCGATTTTCCAAAGATAACCTGGAGCACAAGGAGAAACAAAAATAGTATTGGTCAGCAACAGGGGGCATGAAATTCAGCTGGTCAAGGGAGGGAGCATGAGAGATAAACCAGTAAAACAGGAACTTAGAAAGGCCACATGGTTTTTATTATTTGTCCACAGAAAATACCACATATGTCTCAGTACTTTCCATTCTGGCACAAGCCTTTTTGGGGAGGGAAGGGAAGGGATTTCCACTTGATCCATATCCTTTCCTTTCTTACATTATTGTGATGATTCAAGTTCAGAGATACCACAAGGATAACTGACTGCTACACTGAGCTGATCTTTTTTTCACAACCTTTCAGATATTTTCAATGGCTATTATAACATTCCCATTTCCCATTCTCTGCTCAAAATACAAACAAGGCAACAAAATCTAATCACTTCCCCAACTTCACTAAGAAACACAGACATGGCCTTTCAGAAACTTCCCCTTAAGAGCTTTCATAGTCCAGAGGCTGCAGATTTGGGCTCTGATCTGTAATATGATTGAAACCATGGGCAAGTTGCTACTTTGCAAGATCATTTGTAAAGAAAACTGAATTGAAAGCAGCTGAAGCAGAATCCTGCTGGCAGGAAAAGGTCATTCTCCCTTAAATTGCTCAATCAGTATGCTTCCTTCTGAAGTTATCAAACTTTTTGGAAGGCCACATTGTGGTGATAAATCCCAGGCAGGGCACAGAACCCTGTCTGGCTATTAAATTGGCTGGCAAACAGCAGCCAACCTTTAGTCTAAAACCCCAACCTATGATTTGAGTATTAAATCTACCAGAGATACAGCCCAAAGCCTATTTTCATGTGGGAAAAGTGTAGGACTTTGAGTTAAGAAGAGAAAGTCTTATAGGAATATAAGTTGTGGGTCTGATCACAAATGAAGCCCCTCACCCACCCTGAATGGGATAGCTCAAAAGTGAAGGGTTGGCTTAGGAGTGGGTATCTGGGGCTGTCTCTTCAGCGACTCCCTTCTGCTCCACCATTCCAGTGATGGACGAAGGCAGAAGGAAGCAGCTGAGGGTAGGCCTCACTCACAGGCATGGCTTGGCTAGGGTCCTCTCCAGCCATAAACTGCAGTTTCACTGCAATGTTCCGCACCGAGCCTTGCCGGCTGCTGAAATTCAGGCTCTGGGGATAAATGTAGAGCAGGTTCCTGAAAAAAAAGGAAAATGTTAGACTTCCCCTAATGTACTTGATGGCACAACAGCATTACCAGAATAACTTTTCTTTATCTTCCAAACCATTGATTTCACAACAGAATGTTTTAGAATGGAATGCCCCTGTTCAGCCTGCTAGCTTTGCTCTTTTTCAGGATCATCCCATTATTCTTTGCTTCCCAAGCTTTTCATTTTTCCTTCCAGTCTTTTGCATTACACGGCCACAACATGTGTTCAGTTCTTGAGTTTTTTGTGGCTTCCTCCCCACTCCTCATTCTTTATACTTCTGTAAACTTCTGGATTCCCCTAAGCTTGGTGGTACCTGCCTTTCATGATTAGGAGGTACTGTTTTGGCTATATAAGGATCCATACACTTCAGATTAGTTTGTTATTACTCTATTTGATATCAAGTATCATTTGCCATCTTAAACAAAGAAGGTGTGACTTGTTTTCCAGGAAAGGTGGGAGAAAGTGAGTGATTACATAGAAAGAGCCAGAGGCATGGCATGAACAACTCTGATGTATGGACATTCAGTTCATGCCAGCCCCCCAAATAGCAGCAAATTACATAGCATTGTTCCTCCGGCCAGCCCAGTCAGGATAAATACATCGAGTCTGTCATCAAGCTGTGCAATTCCAAAAAACAAACCTGAATGTCTCTGTTGTAATCTGGCTCCAGCCTAGCCTTGTGAAATTCTACTGCCCTAAGAGAGGGGCTTAGTGCTCCACCAATGATCAAGAGTGGGATAAGAGCCAAGTTTTAAAATAATGCTGACTCATTCACAGCCAGAGAGGGTAGTTCAATAGAGATCCAAAGTCCAAAATCATCTGGGTCTTCCCTCCTGGAATCCTCCCACCGTCTCTATATAAGGGGAAGCTTTCAGTCACTCTGTTTTACTACTGGACCAATCAGAGCTATGCTCGCTTCCATATTCTTAAGCCTCCTAATGTCCCAGGTAGTCACCCCTGCCCCTTCCCTCATGGGCCTCCAGCAGGTGGCTCTGCAGGAAGAGGTCAGTGTTTTGGTCAACGGAGTGCTGCAGTTCAGCCAGGCACTGCACAACCTCTACAACTCCATGGCCCAGAAGTTTGACACAATCAAGCAACGCACGGACTTTTATCAGCAGGGCTTGAAGGTACTAGATCACCAGATTCAGAGCATCCAGCTGGACCAGAATGGGATCAGAGGGATAATTAAAGGGCTGAAGGTAACTGCATTTAAAAGGACTTTTTTAAAAAAGGAGGAAGTAGGGCAATGATATAAAAGGAATTGTGCTGAGCAAAACAGCAGCTTTGGACACAACAATTTGTGGCATATGCCCCTGGGAAGGTGGGATAGAAAGCCAATGGATAAATAAAATACAAAGATATAGGGACTCTCACCTTTAGCCTAGCTCTATATTTGTCATGGTAATCCTCCAAATGTACAGTGTAAGATTCTCAACCTAACCCTTTTCTAAGTATCTACTACTGGCATCCAGGCACTAAAGCTGCTCTTCCCCTCCCCTCCCTTCCCCTCCCCAGCTGACCCCTCTGCTCTCTTTCCAATAGGCAGAGGGCACAAGATTGAAGCAACAGTCTCAGGCCAAGAAGGAAGAACTGCAGAAGATGCTAGTGAGTCATCAAAATACACTGCTACAAGTTAAGGTGCTTGAAGAAAAGCTGTCCAGCATGGACCACCAAGATGTCCAAAACAAAGAGTGGGAGTTTGCAGCTGTGAAGGTAACTATTTCTTTTAATTCAGGGGACATTCCTCTATGAGGATATGCTTTATGCTTTTCGCAGCCCCATTCTGTAAAATCCCCAGAAACCATGGCGCTTACCTACAGCATGGGTAAAGGGAAAACAATACTTAGCCACTTTTCTCTGTTTTGCTTTTTAACTGTTTGTTCACAAAGCCTCTCTTGATTTGAGCTGACTACACTGGCACATCCGTGTTGTTTTCTAGACACTATTATAGAAATGGTTTGCCACTTCCTTCTTTCTGGGATGTTTTCTCAACTTCCCAGTCTAGCCAAGAGCCCTGGGATCGCCTGATGGTCTAAGTATCACCATTCTGACACTTCTTAGCTTAAGATCATTACAGCTGCCTAGATGCTACCACCAAATACAGAGATGAATAAATTCACTGTAATCTACTGAGGTTTCTTTCTAAATCTGCCCTTTCCCTGATTTTGTGTGTGTTAAACTCTGGTGTTTTAAATCAGTAAACTGCTGAATCTATCAAAATTCATTAATCCCCTCTATGTTCATGTAATGGCATGTGGTAATGACCTTGGGAGACGGGAGGAAGAGCCGCAGACTAGACAACCATCATGTAAAAGATATCTCAGTCCAGAGAAGCAGAGGGGGCATGGGAAGCATTTCAGAAGGGACCCTCCCTAGTTTTATGGAAAGCAAAATGAAAGGAGGGGAGGAATACTTTCAGACTTGCAAGATTCTGTTAATGGAACCTTGCAATAAAGATAGAGCTAGTATTCATTGATGTGCTTCTTGTCTGGACTGCCTCAAAGGGCTAACACCTCATGAGACTTCTCACTGCCTCAGTCAATATACCCAACCATTTTCCATCTCACCAAAACCTGTCCCTAATTCCCTTTACTACTTCTCTTTAAAGCTCACTTGCCTAACTAATATAAGCAGCTGTGGGGGAAGCCCCTACTGCCATGGGGTTGGCACTGCCCTACACCAACTTTTGCAGGCAACGGGATCATGGAAACTTTCCTGTCTCCACTATGTCAAGCAGCCGTAGCTCTGCATGACAGATAGACACAATGCATATGACAAGAAGTTCTACAAAACCCTCTTAGCCACATGAAACTCTAGTGTGCAGCAGGAGAATATGAAGGCTTGAAAGGATTCATGCGTCTGACTGCAAATGTTTTCTATGGCTAGTGAAAGCCTGTCCTGGTTATATTTTGGAAACTGGGTGAGAGGGGTGAAATAAAAAAGTCATATTAGCTTCTAAGCTAGAGATGGATTTGCAGGTCAGCTTGCTCTTTGAGGAGAGCTCCCAAACTCATCTCCAGACCCAGCTGGGCAAGCTTCACCAGCCTGTCTCTCTGTTCCAGGAAGAGAATGCCGTAAAGCTGTTAAGATGTATGGCTATAACTAATAAGAAACACACAGCACACCACGCATAGGACCGAGCACAATATAATCAACCAACTCTCTCAAGCAACACACAGTTGTTTGAGTTTCAGCAGTAGTAATCCCATGCTCTGAAAAATCAAGCTAAATCCCCATCTGCTTTAATCTCATAAGCTTATTTTCAGCTTACCCAGATCCCTTTTAAGGTGATGTCTGATTTAACAGTCTGTACAGCAGAGGTGTTAGGGCAAGGATTAGAGTTGTCTCAGTTATTAGCTGGCATTTCTTCAATACCAAGAGCATTATAGGGACAATTCCTGCTGGTCAGCTGCAGCAATTCCCCGAGATTCTTAGAGATTTTCTTCACTGCACCGCCCTATTTCAGTAGCAAAGCCACTGGAGGGAATAAACAGGCTATCTGTCATAGATGCAAAAGCCTTCTGGCATGCTGCTCCTTCTCTAGAGAGCCAGGTTGCAGTTGCAGTTTTATTAGTGATACTGTAAGACCTGGCCAGGCACACTAGAAAACATCCCCATGAACATGGCTCTTTCCTAAGAGGGCCTGCACTCTGCCTTAGAGGGATGGATGGGGGGAAGGTTTAGGGGAAGGTCAGTCTATGGAAGGCAAACAGAGGACATGCAGTGAAAAAGGTGAAAGGGCCTCATGTTCGGGGTCTCAAGCACTAGAGCTCAACAGCATGCAGGGACACTCCTATGAAAACCAATCTCTTCTCTCCTCAAGGCTCACGTGCAACAGCAGAATCTCACCATCTGGTTCCTACTGGGAGCAACCAAGCAGCAGCAAGAGCAAATGGCTGAACAGGCAAAACAGCTGCTACGGATTCAAGAACAGGCAAGGCAAGAGGGGAAGGTATTCCATAGGGAGGATACTATCACACACATCAAATGATGTGACCAGTGGCCCTGGCAGAGTCGACTCCTACATGTAATAACAGCGCCATTATTAAAGTGAAGTCTCAGATCACTGACAAATGAGACATTTATCTCATATTGGTTATTAAAACAAACATGAGCTTATGTTTAACAAGACCTAGTCTCCCTGCTCTATAAGCAGCAGAACCCCTTGAAGAAAAAGGCATTGGCTAGACAGTCTACCTGCCCAATAGAACTGCATATGTCCCTTTTTAAAGATGAAGAACCACAGAGGTGCTAGACTAAATGTGGGAGATCTGGAAAAAGAAACCTCAGTAAATTGATGTTGCAGAAGGGACTGTGGAGCAGAAAATCATCAGTCACATTTGTTGAATGGTTAGAACTGCCTCGTGGCAACTACATGCAATATGGTTAAGTAGGGCTATCCCTGTAGCCATGGGGGAAACTAGTAGGAGATCAGGAGAAGAAAGTGATCCAGGTTGACAATCAACATATTTATCCCTGTTGGATTTAGTTATGCAGGTTGATGGAAGAGACAATTCATCAGTCCTTCAGTTCTTCTGCAGACTTTTAAAAAGGTTGTATTTTTAACACAAAGCAAAAAAAACTTTTCTGCAAGTTTCACGGTCTTCACTTTATCTTTTTATGAAGAACATTTTTTGGCAACTGAAAGAAAAGGGCCAAATGAAAAGGAACTGAAGTTTTCAATAAACTTTATGTTAATGGAATATCATAACCAACTAGGTTCAGTAGTAGTGCAAGACTGTGAGGGTTAAAAAGTTAGAGTAAGGAAACACCCAAAACAGAGCTTCTTTCCTCTCAAGGACTAAACTTGCAGTGTCATATGATGTGTGCTCACCGATATGTTGTGTGAGGGGTATAGACTTCTCGGACTGGGAACTCGAGGATCTCCTTGGTGGGTCGGACACGCAGGTCAGGGTAAGGCTGGACGTGCAACAGTTCAGGGGAGAGACAGTAATGGGGGTTCTCTGGCACTGGTGAAATGTCTATCTTGAATTGGGCTATGGTGCAGAAACAAGATGAGTGTAAGAATAAGTTACATACAGACAATGACATGTCTAGACAGGCATCAAGCACAAGGACTGAGCATAGACAGCTGGAAGATGGGGAGATGCTGAAATCCATCTCTATCCCATGTGAAGCCATTCGGAAGCTGAAGGACCAGCAGCAGCAGCAGAAGTCCTTGTGTTTGGAAGGTGCCAGAGCAAGAGCTAGACCACCGGGGCTAAACAACAGAGAGGGAACTGGCCTTTCAATACACAGTTCTTCGCGCACAATGCTAAGGCATAATATGCTTTGTTTTGTAATAGTAAGGAAAGAGGAATACTAAAAGGCTATAAAGGATTGCTTGGAATCAGCATACTGGGATTTAGATTACAAAAAGGTATAATAATAGACTGCAGAAAAAAATTAACTCTGAGCAGATTAGGAAAATGCTGGTTAGAGCAGAGTAGCACTCATTTCATTCAGTTTAGAGATGCTTCTTGCTTTAACTGACCTTTTGACTTCACTTTGTAAAAAAGAACAAAAATACACCATGGAAGAACAAACAATTTTTTCCCCTCAAAACACGTACATAACAGGGCTGCACACAGCATTTGATAGTTTGCACATTAGTGCAAACAAATCAACAGGAGGTTCAGCACTGTGGTTTGAAGGCTTCCTCAGGTCATTTCCCAATGCGCGGGTGTGCTCAGTGGTCTGCATGGCTGCCAGCTCCAGCCAAAGTCTTGTGGCTGTGTGCTGGCACAGCCCACTTGGGAAAGCCTTTGAGGTCGCCCCTTGAAAACTGGTGCTCAGCCCTATCCTGTAACTCATTTTGGGGACAATCTGAAACAGACTGGGTCTTAGAAAAGACCATGCTAGAGGAAGTAACATAAACAGGCAAAAAATGGTATTACAATATCCTGCTTTACCTGTAACCGGACGGAGTCTTCTCAGGACGGAAGATGGGCGCCTCATATCTGCCAGGAACTTGTACAAGTCCTCATCACTGAGACGATCACCTTCCTGAAAATGAAGAGAGAGAGAATAAGACAAAGAAGGTGGCATCCACTGGTGCAGGGAATAGAGCCTCCTATGAGTGCTCCCTGTTACCCCCCCACCCCCCCCACAAATGTTCACGCAGAGCTTCAGCACTCAAAAGTCAAGATGGACAGGAGGACTTTAAGGAACGTGGCATGCCAAGACTCTCAGCCTTCGAATCTGCTTTGTACTGATGACCTAGTTAGATAATTCCATCCAATTTAGGTTTAATTCTTTCTTAAAAAAACTAATTCACAATATCAAGATGGAAGAAGTTTATATAATTTTGATAGCCTAGTATCTATCTTTCTTCTTTAAAGTGGTTTTTTTTAAATATGTATTTAGAATTAGATTAATGAGGGGGGTAATTTGTTTAGTTGTTTTTTTAAGGTTTGTTTTTCAATTTCAGGGAGGTCTTTTCTGTTTTATTTTTCTTCCTAGGTCATTTAGTTTGGTTTTCTTTCTTTCTTTTTTTAATCATTATATAGATATTTTTTTAGATACAGTACGTTACGGGTTTTCCAAAGTATATAGACTTCTATACAATAGTAATATCGTTCATATAGTTACACTGCTATTTAGTTTAAATGTAACATTACAAATTGATAACTGAACTTTTTAAAGATTATTAACTGTAGCATTTTTAATGTTGAATAAAACAGTATTTTTTTAAAAAGACACTTTAAAGAATGCAGTATGCTAAAAAATGTGGAGACAAGGGCATTCTGAAGGCCTTGTTCCTCCCAGCCATCTTCCTTTAAGATCTTGGTGCTCACCCCATTTCATTAAACAAGGATGTTGTATCCATCACATTGACATATTTTCATTTTGGGAGCTACAGGAAAGTGATTTTCCCCCTCCTTCTTCATGGCAGACCGAGTACCATATTTTGCCAGAAGAGATTCTGGAAGTTCTCTCTCTCTCTCTCTTTTTTGCAGCATATCAATGAGCTTCACTCACTTCACAGATGGCTTCATGTGAGGAAACAGATAGTGCCATACAAACAACTCCCTCTGATCCCATGCCTGCATTCTCACAGGTTGAGAGATATTAAACCTACATGATGCTCTGGTTGAGGTCAGTCCAAAAATCATTCTAGCTTCTAACCTGTTTGAAAAAATTGGTGATTGTGAGGGTGGCTGGACGAAAGTTGCTGAAGCTACACATCTCCTCCCCAACACTCAGGCGCCCATAAGCTTTCCTCTTGCGCTCATTCCAGGTCCCTTTGCGCTCTGCAAAAGAGAGAGAGGTGTTCAACAGGAAAGGCATGAATATGTCCTCAGAGGACATAAGCAAGAAATAATGGTGAGAAGAGAATTGGACTTATCCATGCTGTTAAGTGAGTTGCTACCATGATCTCTGAATTCCGTATCTCCAGCACAGAAAAAGAGAGTAAACTTAATGGCAAACACAATGGAGACAGAACTGCAGTTTCCATATAATCTGTCTGAGAGAATGGAGCTCCAACTGGCAATTTTCAAGAATTATTCTCTTGCGTTTTGGAGGGAATCACAATGTCCTAAAAATGGGCCCTGAACCTACTACAGTCTGCTGTGGAGGTTATATTCTACATATTCTGATGCCTATTGGCAGGTGAGTATCTCCAAAGCTCCTATAGGATGTCAGTGGAATACAAAAAGCTAAATGCATACTATAGCATGGACTTGACACAACATACTTAGCAAATGGCATGCAAGGTCTGCCACACAGGGGGCCTTGAAATATTTTCAACAAGGTGGACTTACATTCCTCATCTCTATCTGTGAATCTACTGAAAGAGTATTCCTTTCTTTAAAGAAAGTTGCAGATTTCCTTTGAATCAGCTTCCACCCTCATGACCATAAACAAAATGTACCATTCTTTACTTCCGTATTGTGATCCTTACGTTGCACACCTGCATGTTGGTTTTATGCTGACTGCAATTCTCTCGTGCTAGTAAACTATCAAAAAGTATGATTCAGCCAGTGGGACTGTAGTGACATTGTCTTCATGATGCCAGTCACAAGGCATCTCAGTTCTGATTCTGGAAGAATAACGTACTTTGTGATGTGTCAAGCCCATGTACTTTAGCTGGCAAGTCCAAGGGAGCAAAAACAGCATGGATTTCAGTAAGTTTTCTTTAATGCTAGTCTGGGATAAATAGAGACTCTTGGAAACTTAAGAGAAATTTCCCACCGCATTTAAAGTCACGTTGTTGAGTTGGGCAGCCTTATAAATCCAGTAATAATTTTTTAAAAAAATAAATGTATAGTGAGTTAATTAAGGTGGCGTCTTGTTAAAATGCTTTTTCCCAGATGTTTCCCCATCTGAACTGAATTGCCATTTATGAGATAATCTGTCAACAGATTTACCCCCTTGCTTGATTTGATTTATTTCGTATGGCCGCCCATCTCATCTAAGTAACTCTGGGAGGCTTACAACAGCTAAAAACAACAATCCAATAAAAAAGTTAAAAACCAACATAGAAACATATAAAACATCAGAAACCACCTAGAAAACAAAATAACCATGGCCAGTGGCCAAAGTCCATCCTTGAGTCAAGCTCAACAAAGTCAGTGTAAAAGCTCCCTGCCACTGCCAGACCCCCAAGCATGGTAGCAGAGCCATGTCTTCAGGGCCTTCCTTGAAGACCAGCAAGGTAGGGGCCAATCTAGGTTCCTGGGGGATATTGTTCCAAGGGGCAGGCACCAACAGCAGAAAAGGTTCTCTTCCTGGGTCCCGCCAGATGACACTCTTTCATAGATGGGACCCATAACATGCCTCTCCTGCCAGCCCTGATGGGACAAGTTGATGTAATTGGGGAGAGATGGTCCATCAAATAACCTGGTCCCATGCCATACAGGGCTTTATAGGTCATTACCAGCACCGTGAAATGCACCTAGAAGTATATTGGCAATCAATGCAGCTTGTGGAGCAGAGGTGTAATGCGGGCTAATCAAGGAGCACACATAACTGTCCGTGTCGCTGCATTTTGTACCAGCTGCAGCTTCTGAATGCTCTTCTAGGGCAGCTTTCCCAGTCTTCCCACATGACGCATTCTACCTTTCACTCAATCCATCTATGACACACTTCCCACTCACCCAGAGAGAGTTTGAGTTTGATCCAGGAATACTTAGTTCCTATCCTAACTTGGGGCATAAGAGCTAAATACCAAAACAAGTAAGTGGCACTAAACTCATCATGGGCACAACGCAAGTGATCCCTCTGCACTGAGGTCAGCCTTAAGTAACTTACCATTTTCAGAGTCTGAAGCATCCCTCTCAAGCATCCCAGTGGTGCTGATTATATTCATGAGGTGGATGGCAGTCCAGGCAAATGGCATGCGGTAGCGCCCCAACCGGGTGCAAAATTGCTCTCCTGCTACTCGCAGCTTCTCCAGCTTCTCCTTATTCTGAAAGCACAAGAGGAAAATGTCATCATTGTGTTTCAATTTTAATTGTTTGATTCTTACCACAGTTTTTACCAAACTTGTGCTCTGCAAATGTGTTGGGCTTCATAGCTGGGGATTATGTAAGCTGAAGGCACCATGGTGGGAAAAGCTGCCTAAATAATAATTCTGAGTGACAGGCTATTGTTATTTCAGTGAGAATGGCTGGAGTCAGGGGAGTGATTCAGATGGAATTAAACTAAATAACAGGTGTGTCCTACATATAAGGACCATCCCTATTTCCAAACATTCCTCCCCATCACCCATCAAAACTGGCAGGGCAAGCTACTATATATAAACAGGCAGTAAACCCCACACTCACTCGCAATGATGATGTTACCAAGTCAGGTAATGAAATGTCTGCAAGCAAACAATCAAGCTCAGAGAGCCCCAAGAACTCCACAGTTCAACTCTGAGCTACATATATTCTCTACAGTAGAATCCCACACATAGCCAGCAATTTCTTCATGCTGGATTTCATCTACCTTCAGAGCATCTGTTTCCTTCATGACCATATAAGGTTCACAGCATTCACTGATGTCCCCTTGCTGTAGCACCTTCTCCAGCTATAATGGAAGAGGAAACATAAGTTATAGGATATGACACAGATAACCTGAAATATAATTTAACAGATATTCTGAATCTAACAGATATCCTGAACTTTCTAAGAATGAAACCAAGATGTTTTGAGCACCATCTCAAGTGTTATTCATTATAAGGCAAGAAAGCCAACATTAATGACTTTAAAAACTAGAACTTGCAACCTGAGATGACTAGTCCTACATTCAGAGATGGCTTTTCTCAATACTAAGGGAATAAAACTGGAATGGAAATCCAAAGTGTGATTATGTTTATTCAAAATAGTTCAGTTTTTACTAGTAATTCAAAAGAATGAGAAAATGATATAGGAGTTTACTGTATTGTGAAACTTCTGATTTTGTCTGTGATGGTATCTAAAGTGGGTTAACATTCAGAAAACAGGATATTACATGCAATAGCTTTCTGGGCTATACCTTTTCCAAGGAAACTCCATCCCAATCTCTTATCGTGATCAAGCTTGAGGCAGAAAAACAAATACATAGTTTAAGAAAAGAATGTGAAAAAAGTGAGAGTTGTGACTTGACACTCAGTTGTGGGATCCTTTTGTGAATGAATGAAAACCTGAGCCCATGAATCAAAGCCTGCCACTAACATTAAAGATGTGGTCATCATCATACCAGACCAGAAAGACTCTCCATAGCTATCACCAATATTCCAGCCTTTGTTTGATGTCAGATAGATCAAAGCTAGGTAAAGAACCCAAGAGCTATTATAAAGAGGGAATCAGTCTACCTATGGTGCATTAACAAGAGCATGGATATCTATGGAATGTAGTTACCATGAAATAAATAATATTCCCTCCAATTTCGGTAACTGAAATCTAGTACAGTCCAATTGTAATGTACATCTTGCTTCATCATGCAATTCATTATGCACTAAACATCTTTTCCCACTCTGAAGTTTGATAAAGAGAACCAAAGTGATTATCCCTTGTAAGGGAGGAGAGACTATGTCAATTTGAGAGATATTGTAGCTATAAAGCCTCTAAGCTGTAGGAAACAATTATACATTTGCTCTGGCCAAGATCTAAACAGCCTAATAGGGTTTGCAGGGTGTTGAGTCAGTTGGAACAAAGTATGCTCTACTAAAACTCAAGGAACAATTTATCTTGGGGAAAAAAGGGGAACCAATCTTTTTTTTTTTTTTAAAGCAGTCTACAGGTAAGTGCTCCCACTGTAACAGTTCTATCCAATTCCTATTCTACCAGCTGAAGGGGAAGAAAGGTATAATACATTTAACTGAAGTATCATAAATAACAATAAATAGAAATCTCCAAAATACCATATTTAACTTGCCTTTCCCTAGGATTAAACAGGATTTATCCCTTGTTTTTGGAAAACATACAACATGGATCAGAAGACAAATTTCAATGCCAAATGCTTCTGAAGATTGTGGAAGATCAATCAGACTGATTTAATATCTTTTCCTTAAATTTGAGAGGCAGAGAGCATGACATATCAGAGGAGTTGGGTGCATCTTTTACCTTCTATTTAACAAGATAAGAGTTTGTTTGTTTGTTGTTGTGTCTGCTCTCAGGAGAGACACGGAAGAACTGGGGAGGTGTTTCCTAGGAAAGGGCATAGAACAGACAGCTAAGCCGTTTGACATCCTATTTTCTGAGAAGACAAGAAGTTAACTCATTTTGAGTATCTCCTCTCCAAACAAATAACCAGAGGAAACTAAAGCCCCACCTTGCTGACTACTATAAACTTTATTGAGATCCATTACAGTTTCAGAGAATCCAAAATACATGCTTTCTTCGTAAGTGTATGAACATTTATTCTTTTTTGCACTCATGTAAAATAACAGAATATATAGTCATATTTGCTTCCCAGCATTTGTTAGAATGGCTGCCAGTGATGAATATTAAAGGTGCGACAAACATCTCACCTTGATCACCAAGAATATATCTGGAGAAGGATGAGTAAGAGAAAAGATAGCTGAACGAGCTAGTGTAGAGATGGCAGGATGAGCACTGTGAGCTCGCAGAAGGCCTTTCATATGCTCCGAATTGAGATCAAAATAAAAGTTTTCAGAGATCTAGAAAAAAAAAGGGAAGGCAGCAGTAAAAAAAATGCTACCAAATCTCCTCATGACCCTCACAGCAATAAAAACAATACAAAAGGCAACATCTCAATACCCGGACAAGAGGAAATTTTTGACTGCAGCTCTGATGAACAAGGGCTATTCATCTAATATTGGAATCTGGCTTATTCTTATTAGAGGCTTGGGTCTACTTTATCATATAGCAACAGTGGAATACCAGCAATTCCCTTTCGCTTCTGCCAGATCTGCTTGATATCCAGCTGATGCTTTAGCGTAGGAGGGAATAATGGTTTTGGCCTTGAAGCTACATTTGTTTCCTGTGCCCTGCCTGGAGCAATAGGAATCATAGCCAGTGGCATTCAGCCAGCTGAAATCTTTGGATGTGTTTTTCTTATTTTAAGCATTGCAGAGACTTAGGACGCCCATTTTGTTCCTCAACCCTTCTCAAACCATGAAAAATGATTTGATGGGGAGAATGTTATAGGATGTTATGGGTGCCCAAGACTCAACAGGACTTAAGGCACACATTTTGCCCCTTAAATCTCCTTGACATGGGAAAACCAGGAGTGAAAATTTTAGCAGCACTGATATTGGTGATGTCGCATTCTGGGGGACTACAGAGACCTCAAATGGGGTTTTGGTGACTCTGTGTGACCAACAAGTCAGGGGTTACCTACCCATGATTTAGTGATTTCAAAAATATCATTAAAACTAGAAACCACACATCACACAGTAATGGGTAGCCCAGTAGGGGCTGGGGAGCAGTTGAAGAGAAGGAAACATGGAGGACAAAGTTAGCAGGATATGCAGTCCACTGGGCTTCTTATTATGTCTGAAGTCACTGTGGATTTGAGAAGGACCAAGCAAAGTACAATCTATGAGGGATGAAGATTCTCTGTTGCTATTTCCTATGCATCATCCTGCTTAGCCCAGATCACCCTACATTATTTGAAATTTGTAACTGAAAAAGGGATCACTGGGAATTTGCTGCTTGAGCCTAAAGAAAGAGACAAGCTCACTCTTTCAAAAATCTGAATGTTTTTGCTTCTCCATGAGAAGAGAGGAACTGTAGCTACAGATTCAGAGGAAGAAATGAACCTACATCACGTGGTCTTGAAAACCTGCTAGTTTTCCATCCGTCCTGCATGTAATTCTTCAGAGCAATCCAGTTAATGCTCCCCATATCTATCAAGCTAGTGTATTAGAAGGACAGAAGATAAAATCTGCAACTGATTGTCAAGGCCATTCTGCTGTGCTTAGCTGGCTGGTTATCTTTCAATCTGAAGTTGGTTCTAGCCAAACACAAACTGGCACTGCCAACTACTTCTTGTCATGACACAAGAGATAAATCAGGAAAAAATTACCTTTTTCTTCTCTTTCACATCGTAGAGTGCCAGTGATCCAAAGATGGGTTCAACTTCTATCTCAAACCTAGTCCATGGAAAGGAATACGAAAGGAAATACATTACAAACAGTTAAATGCCTGGTCCTGCCCTATCAAATAAAATAGTCAGGACACTAGAGCTCTTCATTAAAGGGAATCGAGAATCATCATCACCACTGGCGCCCCTCCATCCACCATTCATAATATAAACAGAAGATAACCTACTTCTAATAACTCAACAAATGAAACAATATGCTCAACTGCCATTGGACAAATGAACTTGTCTGATCTTAAGTACTGGTAGCCTATAGATATCCCAAAATAAATTTGCCTACAATGAATTTTCACACTATTTTGGTTCATCACTATGGTGGACTTTGATGCTTCAAAGAAAGATGGATCCTTTCCCATTTCACCTCTCTGTAATGACGCAGTTGAAGTCCTCAGAGTATAGATCAAAATTGGCAATTTTTCATAAAGCATTTTTCTACCAGTTCCTTATCAAATACTTGAACACAGATTTCAAAGCAATTCACAGTTAAAGAAATATAGATAGTTTTAAGCAAAAGTGGGTTTCTATTGGAAAGAGAGATTTTGCAGTCATCCCATGATGGAAATCTTTAAAGAATCAAGTTGTGAGAATCCCACACAACTTTCAGAAGTTAATGACTGTTCAACCTTGAAAGTTTTAGTGGTGGAGGGAAATATCATCTTGCATTTTCTCATATTTTGTTCTACCAATCAAAGTCCATTAGAAAGGAAAATGTCTTCTGATTTGTCATGCTAGGAGGTCTCCTTCCGTGTGCACCCTAAGTATGTGGGCAGTACAAACTGCATTTCTAGGAACCAGTTTGGCAGGCTGGGCTACCAGGAGCATGCAGCCTCCACTGCCCAGGAATATGAATCCAAAAACAAAGGTGCCTTCTCCTTAAGTAACTTTGCCATCTACCTGTTTGCAATTTATTACAGAAACCTGCTGTGTGAATAGAACTGAGTACTAGTGCAGCTCCTTCACACTATGGCAGCAAATGCACGCATGTGCATCCTCCAGCAAAACCAGTACATGTGAAGCTGCACCTTGCATGGCATCTTTTGACCCCTTCTTTTGCACAGTACCAACCATTAAGCAAGAACAACAGTAAAAACTCCATTTTATTCTGCATTCAACCATTTTTTTTCTACCTGACATTCGGCAGATCTATATTGCCAAGAAAATGTGAAATTGTTGCAAGGACATTATTCTGTGTTCAACCACTTTTTTTCTACCTGACATCTGGTAGCTTTGTGTTGCCAAGAAATTGTGACTTACTTCAGAGACAAACACTTCACTAAGATCCTCTGCCCCAATTGCTCTTTTGGAACTTCTGGGATGCTGCATCGTTCTACTGCCTCCTCCTGGGAAGTCAAAGTAAAATATGCCATTGACCCAATAGTGAGCCTGAGACTGAGAAGAGAGACGGAGGCTGTGAAAGCTCACAGAATACTGTTTTGTTATTCTGTATAAGCCTTTGCATTTACCTGTACAATATTCAAACAACTCTTGTCCTTACATAGTTCAAGGGGTTGTAAGAACAAACAAATCAAACAAACAACTAAAAATAAGTGAGCATGTCCTTGGGGTGCAGAAAAAGATTGGCTAATCCAAGATTTCAACAGAGAAAAAAGTAAGGTCATGCAAAGCCAGTTACCACCACTAGTGCTCACCAAAACTTAGTAAAGATTCTGCTTCCCTTTGTTGTCAGAATTAATGGAAATAGAATCCCTTAAACCTTTGTCAAAACTCAGGAAAGACCACAGCAGGGAAACATCATCTATACAACCTGCAACCTGCTACTTCTGTGCAAATGAGTGCATTTCTAGGCCCAAGTGGCTCCCATCTGCTGGGTCCTACCAGGTTCCATAAAAGGCCAAGGGGATCTCAGCCCCTGCACTCACTTCATCAGGGGCAGAGTAAAGGGCCAAGATCTCCTGGTGCCGGTTCTTCTTGCGCAGCTCCTCGTTAGTACGGTCAGTCTCTTCGATGGCCGTGCGCACCAGGAGTGAACGCAATAAAAAGTCAGCTGCAGAATTCTTCAGGTCAAAGATACTGGATGTCCAACTGCCTCGTGGTGTGTCATCCAAGGAACCAGAGCAGCGCTTTGTGTCATCCTGAAAGACAGATGGAGCAGCAATTGCTGTTAAGGCAAGGGGGAATGTCTAAGTACAGCCTTAGAGAGAACCAAGAGTCTTGCTGCTGCTGCTGCTGCTGCTGCTGCCAACAAATCTAAAGAACCATCTTGCATCCAAAGTTTTCTGCTCAGTATATGTGCCAAGTGCTGCCTTACTGCAAGCAGATATCCTAGCCAAGCTAGCACTGCTTCCAGCTTCCAGATGACTTAGCCTTCTCTTCCAATGTTAGAGCAGACTACCCAGCATATATGAAGTGAGGCAAGAATTCACTGATGCTGTAGTACTGAGGGTGGGTAGAAGACAGGACTCTCTTCTCTACTGTCTGCCTTTGAGGCAATCAAATAATTTTTTCCCCTAATTTAGCAGCTTAGTTTTTGCACGTATCAAATACTTTGAACTTAAAAAATGATGGCTTTTTAAAAAGCTTCTTCTAATGTAACATTCCATGCCAAAAGTAAACAAGAGAAAAATTTAGTCAACACAGTCATACATATTACCTGGATCCTTTTGTATCTTGGAAGCTAAACTATGAATTAAGAGAAGGCAGACAGTGTTCCCATTTCCCAGGAGGTAAAAAGAGGGGGAAACTATCAAAATAAACAGGTGGATTTGCAGGAAGAAAATACAAGGGTCCTTAACCATGCTACTGCTTACCTATCCTGTTTGCAAATTCCACACAGTTGAACACTTTTTCTCTCAGTCTAGTACAGAGAAAAATTGTGATGGTGAGGCTACAGGAGAGCACAAGGTGAATTAATGACCTACTCTTACCAATTTTTATAAATGTATAGTAAAGTTTCATCCCTTCAAAAGCAACTGCATCTAGCATTATGTTTCAGGACAAATTATGTATCTTAAAAATGCCTAGGTGATAATGACAAATTGTGGAGAAGCAGTTGGACAAAGTAACTTGGGGGTCACTTGTTTACAGTCCCTCTGCTTCTGTTTCAACTATTGCCTCGGGTTGTGAACTCCTTCCATGCCACAACTTGCCTGCCAATGATTGGGTTAAAATTCCATATTTTGAATTTGAATCTACATTATGAGAATTATATATATGAAGACTTCCATAAACCAGATTAGTATTGAGGTTGTTTTCAACTCAAACAACCAACAAATACAGAGAAGACTCAAAGGCCAGTGAGTCCAATTGAAATGCACATATAGTTTTGGTCACACTCCATGCATTTTCTGCTTTCACACCTTTGTCTTACTTCTAGAAAATTTCTGTCTCTTTGGTATTGAAAGAGCGTATGTTGGGGATTTGGCTTTCCCCAAAAGAGCTGGGGAGAAATAAATCTGGATATTTGGGCATCTGCTTTCAACAAGTGTGGGTTAAATTCCCAACTTGCTTTTTGAACTCCCTGAAATTTAAGAAAGCCGGCAAAGCTATTTGGGGAAATGACAGTATACAGACTGCGCACTTCTGAATACAGTCTCACATTTTAGTTACTAGAAAGGTTTAGGTTTATGAGATTTCTGCCTATGTTTTCAGCATAAAAACAAATCAGATCTGTTCTGAAAACTTGCTATGCTGCATGTGCTTTAGTCCCGTCTACAGCTCACCCCTCAAATGAGACAGGCTTACAGATGCAATAGCCAGATTTACAGAAACCTGAATTTCAAATCCATAAGTTCAGAAAGGTCAGTCAGATCACAAATGTTGATACATCTGGGCTCACATCTTTCCTATCAAGGACATAAACCAGGGAGTGCACGATGGAACCTTTCTGCGAATCAAGATACTCATTCTCTAAAGATTCTAGCTTGAATCTCATCTGTTCTTATGACAGATGCACACGCTCCTCCCACCCCAAGTTAGATAAAGAAAACTTAAGGAGGCCAAACAAGTTGCTTAATATAAGTTAGATTCTACAGTCTTACTTGACTTACCGTATCTCCTTGACTGCTCCTCTCTTCAACTACTTCATCTAATTCAAAGACTTGCCTAGATAATCCTTTCTGTCTCTCCCTTTGCCTCTCACCAGTAATAGCATTATACATGGTACTTAATTTCTGGTACCTAAATGAAGGCAGAAAAACAATGGTGTTACTGCCTGTTGGGAAACTATGGGACAGCATAGTTCTGCTGGTGCCAGAACATCTACCGTGTGTAAAAACATTGTAGACTCCCTGGCATTGTATGCCACATGCTAAATAAATAATAACAGCATGAATGCAGAAAAAAATTAAAGACAATCTCACCAAACACCTTCTAGATTAATTCATCTTTCTATGAATACTTCTGAGTGAACCATACCATTTTTTAGAGTTTTGCTTTCTCCAAAATGAAATGATTTTCAACACTGTCATTATATCACTCTCAGGATTAAGCTGAGTTTTTTTCAGATTTTTCAGAAGGATATTACATTTCCTCTACTGTGATAGTGCAGAGAACAGGAAACTTTTTTTCTGTGATCACATTTTCTTAGGGAGTATATATACAGTGAGCACTGGCGGGACGAAAGCAAACTTCCCTCTCTTTCTACCACTCCTTCGTTGTCACCTCTATGAATTTACACTCAAGATATCATGTGGCTGTCTAGGCCAAAGTCTGCTTTCTATGCCATAATATGTCTCTGGAAAACAAGGTCAGCTGCCAGGAACTGCTACTTATGCAGAGGTGGTGATGCAAGCATGTAAACTTGGGTGTGACTGGAGGAAGATAATGTCTTAGAGATGACAAAAAAGGGGGGGAGTGGGAAGTTGGCATGGTTATCAGTTCCAGCAACAACCAACATTCTATGCTGATCAACTATAGAATTCAGAGGGTTGTTTTAATTGTTGCCCTACATTCCTGTAGAAACTGCTCTGAGAGCTTTTCGCTGAAAACCAGTAAACGAATATTTTAAAGACTTAATATTAATTTGAAGTACTTTCTGCCAGTCAAAGGTAGAGAATTTAACACAGAGATATGGGCGCATATCTTTTGCAATCATATGCCTGCTATATCTGGGCAAGCACTACTATGGTTTTTCTTCTCAAGGCTATAAACTATAAACAGATAAGCACGCTATAAACATATCAAAAATGCCTGGCTCATTTCCCCAGATGTCTCTTCAGCAGCATCTAGTAAAAGTAAACATGTGATTTAATATCCTATCCAGTATTTCTCAAACTATAAGAATCCTCAATTATTTACTTTTGGGAGCTAGGAAACGCTGAACACAACATCCTGCATTTCTTTCAGTAAGCACTATCAGGGAGCCACTGGGATAAAACCACCACATACAGCCCCAACAACTTGCCACCTTTGCTTGCACATGGCCTTGTAAAAGACAACAAATTTGTTAATTGGGAATGGGCCATATTTCCATCCCAGTGACCTCTGCAAATTACTAACTGGGAAAAGTTTCAAACCATGAAACTGTGATGCTGACAACAAGCTTTGAAACAGGCCAGAGAGAGAATGCCTAAGGCAGATGTTCAAAAATTTCTAATTCATTCAAGGCATGAAATATCTACCTGTATAGTCAAATGGAAAGTAACAACTTCTTACTTTTTTTTTATTACTTTATCAACCACAATATCCAAAATAAATCTGTTTCTCCCATCAGTAAACCTAACCCTGTTATATAACAGCTGGTTCAGTTGCTTCTTTGCTGCAAAACTGTAGTGAAGGAGTAATTGGAAAAAACATATTTCCCCAGGTATTAGAGCCCAGATGAAAGGAGTCTTCTTTTGGTTGTCTAATTATTCTGTTTGGTCACCATTTTATATTTTATACTATTCTTTTTTTAACATTGTATGGTTATTTTTCTTTGTTATTGCTTGCTTCTGTTGTATGCTTCCCAGATTCACACTGTTTGAGCAGCCCTATAAATCCAGGGGACTTCAGTTTGTTCAGTACATACTGAAAGAAGAACAATGGATGGTGCCAGGGCAGAATTCCATGATTACTTCTCATACAATCTATTCAGTGAATACAATGGTCTACTCCCTTATTCAAAACATTCTGAGACCAACAAGATCTACTGGATTCACTAATTTAGTAGGGCAAATCATGGGCAGTAGGGAAATGAAATGTAATGCCTGTCATGTAGAAGCTAAGGGTACTCTTCTTTCATAGAGTGAACTCCATATCAAAGATTCACAGGATTCAAGATTGGCTGACAGTTGTGATATTGTCTCACTGAAACAACTTCATCATTAGTACTGAAATCATTGTTAAAACTATAATTATGGCTTTAAATATCTTGACTTCTGTGTCAATCACCTAAACAGTCAATCACCTAAAAAAAATTAATATAAATTCAGGTATGTTCAACCCACATTCAAAAGCATAAACTGCCTCATGTTCAAAGCCCATATCATCACCACCACCCATAAGAAAACCAGTTTTTACTATCCTTCTTAAAAAGACTGCAAAAAGGAGGTAAATGGTAAATAAATGTTACTAAACTTACTTTCTCTGGACGATGACCCAATCCTCTGTGTAGACTTGGACAGCATCTCTTACCCGGGCATCTTGTTTCCTAAAGAAGAAACGTGTGTAAAAATACTTTGTAGAAACAACAAGCTGGCTTAATAAAATTAAATAAAATTTAATAAATAAAATTCTGGAGGAAAGGTGTGACAGCACATAAACTAATTAACTAAAATAGTCTTAAAGGCCTGACCTCATTGCAATGTCCTATCCCAACCTGAAGATTAGCAAAGATCATCCTCCTTGGTATTCTACTGTGTTAGTTATACAAATTTGGACAGGTGAGAGCTAGAATACAGATAGCGGAAAGCTCATGCTGAGTTTGATTAGACATAGGTTAGCACTAATTACTGAGCTTTATCTATGGCAAAAATGGCATTTAAAAAGAGTTCTTTTCCATTTTGATGGCATCTTCTCAGCATCATTGAATAAAACATTTCTGGATGGTTAGAGGCCAGACACAGATACGGTTGAATCTTGAGTAGTAAATGTAAACAAGAGAAGACTTCTAGATATATTGACCTTAATACCACATGATCTCAACCCAGATAATAAAAACTGATATTATCTATAGCACACCACATTGTGGAATATTTTAACCTAAAGTTCCTATATGCACCACATGAACTATTCCCTTTATTTTAAAGCTGCTAAATCAGAGCCAAAACATGTGAGTTTTAAGCTTTTATTATTTTTAGCCTATACTCCTATGTGGTTCAGTGAAGCCACTACTCGTTTCTTTTCCTGGATTTTATTATCCAAATACATTATATACACAGAGTACTAATCTAAGATCACTTAACTCTGTTCCCATTTTATTCAGCATTTTGTGCCTCATTTTTATGCTTCTAGTTGAAACTCATTACAAAGTCCAGCTGTAAATATTTCTGGCTTCCTCCAAAATAATTTGGGAATTGTGTTAAGGATTATTTTGCATCTCATTCCTCCCCCTCCTCCTCCGTGTTTTGCTTCAAAAAGAAATATGTTATTTCCCCTCCTGACTACATGCTTTATGAGCTGGATACAGGCAAACTAAACAGTAGGCTAATTCAATGTATTATTGAATGCTGATGATTATTTTAGAATATTCTTGCAGCTCACTGTCCAGCAATACACAAAAAATACACCTGAGATATATTATCCCATCTTTATACTATTGTCAAGCAAGCATAGATGTGAAAACACTTAGACAAGAAAGTAATATCCATGGATCATTCTAGGAAAAGTCTGTAAGAGAAATCCACTCAGAATCATCTTGTAATACCCAATAATAATACATCTGGTAGTTGTACAGTTCCTCATACTTATATAATCCAAAAGCCCTCGAACCACCTTAAATTGTCATTTAAGGATATTTTGTAATTAAAAATGATTGATTTCCTCTTAAAAACCCACTTTCACTTCAACGCGTTTCCACTGGTCAACGGCACAAAATTAAGAAGTGCTAACTCAGAAAATTTATTTATTTATTTATTTATTTATTTATTTATTTATTTGATTTTTCAACCGCCCATCTCTCCCCAATGGGGGAACTGGGCGATTCACAATAAACATTAGAACATAAAATATATAAACACATAAAACCTTAAATTAACATAACTAAAAAGGAGGAGAGACCAAGGGGATGAAAACCTGAGGCTGAAGGACGAGGCCTCTATGGGGCTA